TTTTTTTTTTTTTTTTTTTTTTTTTTTTTTTTGCACTTTTCTATACTTCAAGTTTTTATTTAAATACAATAACAACAAAAAAAAAAAAGAAATGCAAGTTTTTTCCATTTTTATTTTTTTCAACAAGTTTTTTATTTTTTTCTTTTTTCTGATCTTTCTCCACTTGTTTCCTTTCTTTTTTTGCTATTTTTCTTTCTTTCTTTTTTATTTTCTTATAGAACAAAAAAGCTGGTGGATTTCAAGTGGATAATTGAGCTGAACGTTGAAGTAATGCTCAAAAAAAAAAAAAAAGTAATAATAAGCATCAATTTGAAGCTTATTCAGATAAATTGAATGAAAAGAACTGTATAAAAACAACTAAGCACAAACTAACCATCGGTTACTGTTCATTTATTTACTGTCGTACAGAAATACATTCCAACAACAATACTTTTTTTTTCTTTTTCTTATTGTTTTAGGTGCTCAGAAGTTCCTTAGAATAGTTTTTAGCAAAAAAAAATAGAAAAAAATATAACCGAAAATATCTCATCAAAATTTCCAAATTGCAACACTGTTAAACAGCACAATCTGTGGACAGTTTTCAGAGAATCACCGAAGATAGGCATTGATGACGGAAATGGTCAACGTAATCAAAACTGTATCTTAAAAACCAAGATATACTTAAATAGATATATATAAAGATAATTTATATATATATATTTCTTTACTTGTTTAGGTATTTATTCATTTATATATTCAAAAGTACTAAACAACGACTAACTTTTGTTTAATTTCATTTAGCAAGCTCTGTTTTTTTTTTTGTACTCTAATTTCAAGGTGTCTGCTCATTTTTACCCCAAATCATTTGTTTTAATCTAGCTTAGCTTTGAGAAAATATAAGAATACAGTTTTTTAAATTTCTTCTGACCAACTCAAGTGGCTATACAGTTCAGAAAAAAAATTTGGTTTTTTATTTTTGAATGACAAACTATTATTTGATTTAGTAAAAACAATAAGATGAAGATTAAAACTTTAACGATAGGCTATGATTCGGCTAAAAAAGCAAAAAATGAAAAAATGGTGAGTGATATGAAATTAAATGGATTTTAAGAATAAACTACTAAAGCATAAATAAAAGAAGGAAGAAATAAAACCGTTATTTTAATAATTTTAGTAATTCGTGCTCTTTCCTTCCTTTTTTCTTTTTTGCTTGAAAATTACTGCTGTTTGTTATTGAAAAAAATTTTTCAAAGATCTATCCAATAGCGAAAAAAATTTAAAAATAAGTAAAAATTTCAAATAAATCAGTTGAAAGAGAAAAATGTACACATATACGACTGAATAGAATACAAGAAAAAGTAACAATTTTGTTCCAGGTAAACAGCGTTCAGAAGCAGTGTATTTTTTTAAAGTATCAGTAAGATACCGTCCAAAGTTATTGTAATCAGAAAATTTGTTGAATACTGAAGCAACAGGCTATCTTTGAGGAAGGAACACAAATGTAGTGTAATGCATCTGATGTGATACAACTGAAGCAACGACATATTTTTTGTTGACCGATAGAAGCAGTTCACGTTTTAATAAAAGAACGTTTAAAGAGTCGTGACGAACTTAATTTTATGAACAAACCCAAGTTGTTCAATAGTTGGATGAACAGATAAATAGGTGGATAAATGGATGAATGAAACCAATAGAAGAATTGTTGCTGAGGGTTGGTGGTAATAAATGAGGGCAGAATGAGCATACAAAAATATTTCTATATGACCAAATAGCTGCACCAACGTTGTCGAATGTATCATCGGACAACAAATAGGGGTAGTTGTTTTTGTTGTCGCCGATGAATATCTGATTCTTCAGGTACTGCTGTTGGTGATACTGCCGTTGCTGTAGATGATGATGATGATGATGATGATGATGATGATGGTTATGATGGTGATGCTGTATTGATGTATATTTTTACGTATACTGAATTTGTGGAAGTGTATGCATATACGTATGAAGTCCACAATGTAAACCTCATCGTGCCATCAAATAAAAACCACTTGCATACAGCCCTCGTTTGACCCCA